TTTTTTTTTAAAAAAAAAAATAACTGTATTCTCAAAACAATTCAAATTAAACATGCCCTAAAAATACTCTGTCTGTCTTCTTTCACTATATTTAGTAAATTGCTGAAAACTTTGTCCAAACATACTAATAGAGTCAAGATCTCCAATTCATAATACTGGGTTATTAATAAATTACCCTTTAATCAAGCAGCATTATTCATGACCACAAAGAGACAGCTAATTTGAAACATGATGCTGATACTTTTCTAGAGGGAATTTTGTTTTCAGTGTATTGAATAAATAGCCTCCTCTAATTAGCATGAAAATCAGGTTTTCTGGCATTTTTAGTTACTTGCAGAGACAGAAAATGTACTCAACACGATTTGTTTAATTTATTATTGTATTTTTAGCCAGATGTTTTCTTCTGATATTCCTATTTTGAGCCGTAGCTTATATTGTACAGCAAACATGCTACTGTTTTGATACTGCATACGGTATTCAGTACTTTAGTACTAGTATTCAGTCTAGTTCTTTAATTGTTCAGATTGCTTTCTGTCACATAAATTTTTCTCTCTAAGAATCTTCCATTATCTTTGTCAATTGTAAAGTGCTCTATAAAAATAAATTACAAATCACAGACTTGATGTGTGTTATTTTACTAGTGGTGGTACACTCGTTGCCATAGAAATATCCACAGATGAACAAATGTTTATGTGATAATCTATTTATCTCAGGATGCCATAATTCAGTTATATTCACTCCCATATTCCACATAAAGTAAACTATATATTGTGGGGAAGAATGTGCAACTGGTTATTAGTAACTGGACTACTCTGAGTGCCATCTGTGAAATCATGGAGGTGAATTATGCTTCTCTGGAAAGCTGGTTCAGAAACCTGTAAAGGTTACAGATTTTCCTAGCAAGAGTCCTGTTCCCTACATGTACTACACCTGATTATGCACAGCTCCTGATGATACTCCTCAAAGAAAAGGAAAGAAGGTATAATGTGACCAGGAGCTGCCTTGGATAGGCTGCATGGCCTCTCAACAGAATGGGTGTTGGTTTATCTGATACGCCCGTTCTCTGGAAAGGTGGAGCTAGCATCCATGCGTGGGCTATCCTCAAAACCAATTCTTGAGAGCGGTGGAAGATGGAATTCATCTTTGGGATGAATATCGGGTCCACTCTTAGGACCACATGGTCCAAATGAAAAGTACATAGATCTTGTCGCATCGAAAGAGCCGCCAGTTCCAAAATCAGTAGTGCAGATGTAATTACCACCAAGATGATTACCTTCTGCAACAGGTACAGTAGCGACGTATCCCTCAGCGGTTTAAAGGGAGCTTCCCCGAATGCTTGAAGAATGAGAGGCAAGTCCCAAGATGGAATAGTGACTGTCTTTTTGACAACGTGTGCAGATTCGATGAGTGGTCTGTGAGCTCCGGGTCTGTTGCACGGCGGGCCTGTTCAAAGATCTACCTCGTAGTTCTTATTGAGGGACGTGAATGTGAGATGGAATTTGATACGGGCTCCGCGAAGACTGTTGTGACATGGCAGACCTTATAGAAGATTCTACCCTCCATTTGCTGGGACCAGCTCGCTTCCTGCCCTTGCCACCTCCGTGACTACCAGGGCAATGCCATCCCCATCCTAGGCTGTTTACAATTTACTGTGCAATATGGAACTTTCAAGGGTCAATTGCCCTTGATTGTTGTGTCCCAGCCTTTGGCTTCACTTTTGGGGATGGATTGGTTCAGGGTCCTGGGGTTTACTATTGAGGGAATTCATACTATGCGCCATGGGAATCTATTCTCTTCACTGATGGATGAGTTTGCCGATGTTTTTGACGGCTCTCTGGGCTCTTATACAGGTACTCCTATTTCCCTCAGCCTCAATC